AAGAGGTCCCCAACAAGTAAAAGGAAGGTCCCCCGCAAATAAAGGACGGTCCTCAACAACTCGTGGTCAGAGATAAGCCAGTCGTTTCTCGCGCCCGTTTCTCAGTCTTTACCTTGTCTTTACCTTGCCCCCCCCCCCCCCCTTCGATTTCTATTCCCCCTCTTGAAATTAGAATTTTGACTAGCTGAATCATAGTTGTAAACTGTACCAAATGGCACCGATCGCTCTCTAAAATACCAAATTTTTTCCTTCAACAGACCCCTAACCCCACGCCAATTGGGGTGGGGTCGGCCTTGCATCCGTGGACCCCCCTCCCCCCTAAATAACCCTGGATCCGCCCCTGAGTACGCCGACATGTCCGTCTGGGCAAATAATTTCATATAATGAAATTGCACATAGGAGAGAGAGAGGTGCGCTAGTTTATGAGCGTTTATGCCTCTAGTATTATATATGTTTATTATCTGTCTGACAAAAGGTAAAGATACGGAATACTTCTTCAGTAATAATTAAGTGAATGACCCAGCTTCAAAAGCAGGTCAGGCTGATTAAATTTTAATAGGTAATACGAGTCTACAGTCGACAAATAATAGACCTATAATTGTGTGTAGCGGTTACCAGTGGCTGAAAGAAATCTGAACGAATAATGAATAAATATCTGAAAAGGCAATTGTTACCGTAGATGTAAAAGCATGGAATTAATAATGAGCCTACCTTTTCGAAGAAACTATAATTTCCGGAGATCACATCGGATGCCCTAATGATTCCATTCCCGGATGGTCCGGCAGATCCGGTGTTCAGTTGACAGGACTTGCTCCCGTCTTCATTTTCGATCAGGTTGAAGGACTTGCAGGACGATTCCGTTTGGCAGTAGGTGGCGCACTCAAGCTTAGACCGGACCGAGAGCTCTTGGAGCCTGTACAAGGCCGACATGTAGAATCCGCTACCGCAGCCGGACGGTTCGTTGTAGCTGCCTGAATTGATCGCCCCGAGCGGGATCAATAGAGACACCAGTAAGGAGACGGATAATCCAGACAAAATCATATCAACTTACTGGTCTGATGGATCTTGAATATAAGTGCGAGACTTGAGACAAATGTCCGAAGTGACCTAAGCGAAGATTCAATGAATCGCCTAGACGATGCCTAAAATATAATGAATATTATAAATTAAATAAAAAATAAAGAAAGCACATGGGTTCCCTTTTTTAACTACATGGAAAGCTGAAAACGGAAAAAACGAGCAAGTTAATACATTATTTAAAAAAAAACATGCAAAACGCTATCGGGTAGTGAAAGAATTTTTTTGACAGTAGAATAAGAACACGCCCACTATCCATTGAAAAATAAAAACGGTCATCTTTTATAATGTTAACTATAAACGTGAGACCTTTTCTGTCTATGTTGTAAAGTCAATGGCTTACCCTTTCAATAACTGAAAGATATAAGTAAAGCCAAATCAAATAACAAAAAAGCCCAGCGAGTTATTGGGTACAAGTTTAATTTCCTGAAGAGTCCACAAGTATGTAAATTGTTTTCGTGTAAAAAAAAATATGGAAAATGTCCAAGTAACATACTGTTAACATACAAGGCTTACAGAGATTGCCATCTAATAAGAGAATATTAAATGGTGTAATGGCAATTTAGAATAGAAAATTTTGGGGATCACGCAAACGACGAAATTAAGTAAATGCTTGATAGTTACAAAGAAGTCGGGTATAAATTTCCTTGTCTTTGTAAGAAAAATTAGTCGGTGAATACATGTTTGAAAGCTCCAATTCGTCGTCAAAACACTATCAATAAAACAAAAGGAGAAGAAAAACTATAAAATCTCCCGGAAATTCCTTAAATTTTCTTATATTTACTATGGTATACCATATCAAAAACCAGTGACAAAATTTACGTTCAATGAACTGGTTTCTGATTTTTGAACCACTCTCGTAATGGAAGACTAGTGAATTTCACTCGGAACGGTAAAATTTGGAAAGTTTGGATGGGGTTTCCCTTGATGATGAAGGGGGGGATTGCTGAAATTTCCAGGAAAATCTTTTTTTTTTTGTTTGTTTTATAAAGGTCTAACATGTATGGTTTATTTCATTTCATATTTAACTTGATGGTACATTTGAACGTTTATATGCTAAAACCGAGGTTCATTTTAAAGACATATGCTACTCGCTGATGCGTTTTTCCAAACTGATGAAATTTGATATAGAAAATTCGTCTGGAAGTTTTTAAAATGTTACTTTTTATCTTAATTGATGTCCTTACTATAGTCTTGTTTTTCATATCTCTTTTTTTTTTATTTTTGCTTAAAACTTGTGTTTATGAATGATAATTACTAAAACCCAAGTAAGTAACTTTTTTTTGCTAGACAGTCACAAATATTTGCAAATGAACATGAACTGTTAAATGAAGAGATCTATAACAGTTAACGTGTGTGTGTGTGTGTGTGCGCGCGCGCGAGTGTGTGTGCGCGTGCGTGTGCGACCGAGCAATAAAATCATATGTTGAAAACAAGAATACTCACCCTTTTCCTCGGAAATATTGCAAAATTCCAATTTGAATTAGTAGGTAATCAGGGGTATTTGATTCTCGCAGAACTCTTATCTGTATCTGTATCTGTCACCAGGCCCTTGACGAGAAAGAAAAGTAATGAAATCGAAAATTCTTTCCAGAAAAGACCTCGGTAAAGTTTAACCCAATCATGTGAAATGAACAGCTCCTCTGACGTAGAGGTCCGCGTTTGTCTACACATCAAATATTAACAAATTTGGGAGTAGTGCTCAACAATCAAGGTATTCTTTCCAAAGGCAATACCTTTGGGATATCTGCGCACACATGTAGAGCCCTTTATTGTAGCGAAGTCTGAGGAAGACCTCCTCGTTATGTGTGATATCCTGAAAAACAAACAAGCGAAGTGAGCTACGTCATTATACACAGGGCGTTAATAATGAAATGGTCAATATAAACGCATGACACTTCGCACATAAATTAATTAACTAGAATACATAAAAGGACCGTTCATTTTTGAAAACCCCACAAGGGCCTATTTATGATTGAGATAGAAAGGGACCTCAGACTTATTATGTACAGCTAGATTTACATCTTGACCAATAAACCTTCAAGGCGTTAGTGTCAACGAGACTCTGTATGCAGGTGCAAATGCACCCTACTAATTCTCACAGAACTCTTAAAGGCAAACAATGCGCGTTAGATCTTTATAATTTAATGAAAAAAATCATAGAAATCTCTGAAAATTTGTTATTATCAAGGTATAGATTTACCCTATCCAAACCCGTTTAGAAAATAAATAAATATCTTTAAAGAATTTAATTTTCGAGTTATTTATTTTTTACTTTAACTGTCAGGACAAAGCGGACACGTCTCTCTGTCAGCTTCTTGTGTACCTCCCAACACTCGACCCTAGCAGATGGTATTGATTTTATCTTCTTACATTTTGCAAACTGAGGCTTTCTGTCGAGGCCCAGTGTCATGCACCAGAAGGTCCCCCATGACAGAAAGTCCGGGACCCAAAAAGCTGCAACTGATCTGAACTCCAAGTTGTCGACATTGAGATTTCTTTTTATCCGAAATTCTAACCTTGTCGGCTTTGCCACACACATTGTATAGTAAAATTGTCGTCGTCTTGTCTCTCTTTCTCCCCCCTCCCCCCCCCCCTTATCAAAACCCTCCATCCACCAGTGGCAGATCCCGTTTAATCATGATTGGTTTTCAATATAAAATTTGCATAAAATTTTGCAGTTTTAATTGACTCACTCGTGAGTTTTCTACATAGCAGGCTGTAACACGTTAAAGAAGATATAGTTTGTGATATTTGGAAATGAAATAAAAACAAATATAGCTTTTGAATTCAATTTTTATTCAATTCAATAACAATATAATATTGTCAAATCTATAAACTCTTGTCTCTGTTACATAATAGTGATCCTAGACTCGCTAGGCAATTTTTGAAAGCGTACTCTCAAATAAATGTTTTATACTAAGGCAACGATAATTAACTCTCTACTTTATTCCCAACACCAACCTAAACTTATTATAACATGTTAAAAGTATTTACAAAACAACTCAATGAATGCATAGTAAAATGATTGCAGTTGGTTACCATGTTACAGAGCCATTAGTAAACAAATTAACATTTAAATAGATCAGTCTCCAACTCCTTTACTTTTGTAATAGATATCAGTGGATAGGATAATTCTCTGTGCCTGGAAGACAAAATTAATACAATCTAGGACTATACACCAATTTGAAATGAAAAAGTTCAATATTGATATCTGTCTATTAAAATTATCAAAAATTGTCACAATGGAAGACCAAATAAAATTCACAAATCATTGCGTTAGTTTGAGAGAAAAAAAAATACAATGAATAAATAAATAAAATACAAAATAACATTAATCAATGAAATTAATCCTATATCAACTTGAAGTATGTTGGCATGAAATGAGTAAGTCGAATTTTTTTTCAGATCTTAGTATTTTTGTTTAACAAGGCACACTGGTCCTCTCATCACTGCTCATACGGGAATGTCATAGCTGTCTTAATAATTCTGTGGAAAAAAATCCAAATCAAATCTTCAAACCAAAACACTGACACAAGTTTGAACTTGATCCTCATGTAGCTGAATTAAGCCACACTGATTCTATAAGATTACAAGAACAACTCACAATTATGTACACACTGTCAGCACTTAAATTAAAAAAAATGCCTTTTCTACCAACTACAAGTCAACAACTGTCATCACACATGATATAAGAGATATTTAGTGTCTTCCTTTTTTCATACATGTTGCTCTAATTACAAATTAACTCATTCTCAAACATTTTATGAAACTTTCCCTAGTCGGGTCTACTTTAAATACAAGATTATAACATGATATTGTAACTCACTATGCTATATTTAGTCCTCACAACAACATTTTCTATGCAACAACAATCCCTGCAAATTTCTCCAGCTAATGAACTTCTAATGCTTGGAATAAAAGAGAAATATATACAGCACACTTTTGCAAATGGTAGAGATAGGAAAAACTCACATTTTTTTTTTCAAAATTGCATCTTGTGAGATTTTGTTCTGCTGCCTTCATTACAAAATCCATCAACATCAAACAATCTTCAAACAAAAGATGAAAAATTAAATAAAAATGAATAAGACTATACATCTGAAACTTGTTTCTCATTCAAACAACAGCAAATCAACAAATTGAATGTTAATACAAACTTCACATTGCAGTTTCATATAAAAAAAATAGATGTAACATTTAAAAATACTAGATTTAGTGCAATGTAGTGTCTTATCTGAATAATAGGTGGCACTACTGTATAAAAATTATATAGAATCTGGTTAGAACATGATATTATCTTTTACAGAATTATATTATCTGCTGTTAACACTCCATTCTGTCATCTTTGGTGAATGTACAAATCGGCTTTCATGAAAAAAAAAAAAATGACAGGTCCATATTAGTTATCAAACTTACTTCTGGTCTATACACAAACACATCTATCTAAATGAAGTAAAACTAGTATTTACAAATCAAAACCAATAATCTAATTTCACAGCAAGTCTACAAGTATAGTTTGTACTGCTATAATGCCTATGTTATAATGGAAGAAGTTAAACTTCTCAAATCAATGTAAACTAAAACCATTGCATCAAAATTGAAATCAGACTTTTGACTTTTTCTGGTCTCCCATGTTTGGTATGAAAAAACCAATAAATCCCGTCTTGAATATTTAAGCTCAATTGATGTGATGTGGTTAACTTTTCAAACCATATTCATAAAAAAAGCAACTAAACATGCTGTCACTATTCTAGCTAACTTTTTGTCTTAGTTCTTTGGTCCTTGTGGTTTATCTTACATACATTTTGTCTAAATAGTAGACTTGCCAGACACACCTAGCTTAAATTACTTTTCATATATGATAGTTGTTCCTATAAATCCACTGTTCTATTTTTTTCCCAGACTTACTATTGTATTAGCACTTGAACACATCCTCATATTCAAAATAAACACTGTTGTTTTTAATTTCCCCTGTGTTATCTCTGGTCCTTAATTCAGTCTCCAGGGGAGTTTGTACACCCTTCTGACAGGGTAACTTCAGCAACATAAATGTCCCTGTTAAATTAGTAGTTACTGATTACGTTTTCCTGTTTTTGTCTACAAGTACATTTAGTCACAGCCATGGAGCACCCTCAAATGTAACCAAATAAAAAAAAAAGAAAAATTCTCAAGGAAATGGATTCTCAGTGTTTAGGCCATGTAAGTTCCATGTGTCATGGGTGTGCCTCCCTCTTTATCAACTCTGTGGTCCCATCGTCGTTGGTTTCCGAGTTCTGTAACAGAGATATGAGGGCTTGGTTAATACATTTCTTGCTTTGTGCACTGTAATGTGTTTTACAAGAAAATCTATTTTTTAATAACGATTCCTTTAAACTGATCAAATATTGATGATATTCCTTACCACTTTAAATTCAAAATTTCCTGTACTAAAATAAACGTAATGATAAAAAAATGATACACTTTAAGCAAACCTATTACAAGTAAATTACAGATCCAAGAAACATAAGTTATACAAAGAATTCCCAATCTTTTCTTGTACATACCCTTAGAATTTATTGCCTACAAGATGCTGCATTTCATGTCTTAGAAGTTGCTCAGAAGCAGGAAAAGCACGGTCACAATACTGACATATCCACATGGTCTCAAGGCCCTCCAGCTTGTCTTCCTTTTTTACGCCATCTACAGGAGGTTTACTGAGATTCTGAAACACAGCTGCTGCACCAATAGGTTTATCTTCCACAGTAGGTGCCACTCTTTGCTTTGGTTTTTCTGGGATTGGGATTTTTTCAACGGGGATGAATTCATTGTCATTGGTGTTGTCAGCAGCATCACAAGTTTTGGTCAAGTTCATTGCTTTACTGTACTCTGAAATGTCAATGAACTCTGGTTCTGCTTTGACCGACTGGCTCATGTCAACAGCGCTTGTATCATCAAGGGCGTCTTCATCATCCTGGTCATTCTTTTCCTTGGATTCTATGTTGTTGAAGTTAAAATGCACCTTGATATGCTGGTTAAGCAGATGCGTCTTGCTAACACTGTAGTCACAATAGGGGCACTTGAGTTCACTGTGTATCATGTGGAACTTCAGGTGAGTCAGTAAGTTATCTCGTCGTATGTTAGTATATGGGCATCTATCACACTTATACAGTTTCTTTGGTTCCAGGACATCATCCAATTTGTTTTCTAGAAGATCCCATGAATCGTGTACGCCACCAGGCCCAGTTGCAGCATCCCCGGGATCTAAGGTGCTGGCGACCAGAATGTCGGCAGGCATCTGTGGGAGATGTTGCAAGTTGGTGATGGATTGGACAGCCAGCAAGTTCTGATTGGGCAACAAATGCAGCTTTCTATGCTGCAGCAACAGGTTGTATCCTGGGACGCTGTAATCACAGTACTCACAAAGGTAACGCTGCTTGCTTCCATGGAGACTGATATGGCGCTCAAACTGACCTCGTTTGGTGGTGGCATATGGGCACTTTTCACAACACCATTTCTTGTATTTTGCATGTTCTAGGATGTGTTCACCGGTAGGGTCATTGTAGCGTAAGTTGAATCCAGCATGAGCAACTGCGTCTGGGTTGTTGGCAATATTAGCATGCAGTTCCTCAACCTCCTCCTTTGTGAGTGGTGGTTTGGAATGAGAGGCAGCTTTTTCTGCTTCCTCTGCAGCCGGATCTATATCAGTTTCAGGATTAAACTGAGATGTGTGTACCTTCACATGGTGGGTCATCAGCCCCTTGTTTCCACAATGATAGTCACAGTGCTGGCACTTCATAGCACCTTCACGATACCCATGCATTCCTTCATGCATGCGAAGATTCACGCTACGAACGTTAGTGTACGGGCAGTACTTGCACTTATGCAGCTTCCCTGAGGTTTTAGCAGCAGGTGTAACACTACTACTACTACTATTGCTGTGAACAACAGGCTCAATCTTTTCAATCTTCATTTCTAACTCTGGGCCAGCTTGGTTGGAACGCAGGGGCACGCTCAAAACACGTGAGCTAATAATGTCATGCTTGTATCCAGCAGCCTCAACTACATCCATCTCAGCATAGGACTCACACAGGGATTCTTCATACTCCTGATCAGAGGGGCCCGAAGCCTTGACATCTTCCACATCCCCAAACTGTATATGGTACTTCATATGTTGTCGCAGCAATCTCTTTCGGCTGACCCAGTAATTACAGTACTGGCATTTAAAAGGAGCCGTTGGCTTGGGCCTGTGAAACTGTTTGTGGTACAGAAAGTCATGCCTTGAGTTGGTGTTGTACGGACACACGTTACACTTGTACCTCTTGTCACCACCCGTTGAGACACTTGTGGTGCGTTGTTTCTTTGGAGGGCTGGGATGCTTCACTGCAGGAACAATATGCTGAATATGTTCTACCTTTGCTGCCTGGTGCATTCGGTGGTGCTGTATAAGTAGACGGGGGACACAAACATAGTACGGGCAGTATTTGCACTTGTGGTTGTTCAAGGCACTGGGTTTGTGGTGGGTCCTGTGCATCTTAAAAAGGTTTTTCTTATCAGAACGATACGGACAAATGTTGCATTGGTATTTTTTGTGTCTGATTACAGGCTTGGCAGGACTTGAATCAATGGGTAGTGGCTTTGGTGAGGTGAGAGATTGATTTTGTGGTATGGGCGTATCAGGACTCAAGAAATCTGTGGAAATAGCTCTGTTCATTCTTGTAAGCAGAACTTCAAAGTTCCCTTCCTCACAATGCTGATAGTCTTGAATCTTGTGTTTCTCTCTCAGGTGGCGGAAAATGGCATTTTTCCAATTGGAAGCATGGCCACAGAGCTTACAACGAAAACTACGCTGACTCAAAGATGGGAGTCCTTGCCCCTGGCCCCCTTGCTCTGGTGAGGATGTTGTCATACTGTCAGCCTCTTTCGTTTCTCCTGACACCTGCACAGCTTTTCTTTCTCCTGTAAAATTTGGGTTTGCTATGACAGAAACAGAGGGATCACTGCTGTGCTTCTTACGAATATGTCTACGTACAGAATTTCTGAAGACTGATGCAAAGCTGCAAGATGAACATTTCCACTGCTTGAACTGTGCAGCATGCATTTTCACATGGTCTATAACAACCTCACGGTGGGTGTTCTTGAAGGAGCACCTTGCACACTTCCATACTCTTGCCTTTTTATTTGGATCTGGCGAAGACGCAGTGTTCTCTTTCTTGGAGTCATTCAGGGCTGCCTGAGCTGCTAGTGCAGCAGGCAAGCTGAATTTCCTCCTGGCAATCTGGCAGTAGTCTGCCAAAGAGTTGGCAGCCTCTTTCTGGCTCATCACTTGTATGGAACCTTTCCCCTTGTGCCGCCTGCGAATGTGTCTCACAATGTCACTGCGCCAGTTGGACCTGTAGATGCAGGAAGAGCATCGAAACCGCTTAGTGTTGTGTATGTCATGTTGGTTGAGATATGCAATTTTTGACTTGGACTGTAGGTCATGCTGCTCGATAACATAGGCATTGGAATTTGGGTGGAGAACACGAATGTGTTTGTTCAGATCCCATTTCCAGTTGGAGCGTTTTCCACAGAGGGAACATTTAAATGGACGCTGGTCTTTATCATCATCTCCTATTATGTGTACTTCTGCTTTCACTGGTGATGATTCAGATCCTTTGTTGCTATGATGACCACCTGATGCAACAGGCAGTGGTGAAGGTTTGGAAAGAAACCTGGGTCTGGTTTGTGCATTCTGGGATACATAAACTTGTGGCTTCTTCACAGCTTCCATTTTTGGAGGAATTCTGATCATGTGTGCATGGGGGTGTTTTGCTGCAATATGCCTCTTAATAACAGTTATCCATCTCGACTGCTGACTGCAAATGGAGCACTTGAAAATACGAAAATTTCCCAGCTCCGTGTTAGAGGCTGATGGTGAATCATCTGCAGCACGTTCAATTTCTATCTCAGGCGGGCTGTCAGCAGTCGCATCCAAGTTTTTTGGAAGATTTAAGTTGGGTTCTGGGATAAGTACAGGAGGGTCTGTGGTACCACTATTCATTGAGCTTGATAAGTCCAGGCTCCCAGTACTACTCCCATTCATAGAATTTTCATTATCATCAGAATTAGTCTCCCCTTGCTTGTACACTTCTATTACATAGGCATCAGTGCCTTGGTGCACAAGACGAATATGCTTGTTCAGATCCCATTTCCAGTTTGATCTCCTAGAGCATAGTGAACACTTAAAGGGTCGCCGATCAACCACCACGGATGGGCTGTCATTATCATTCCCTCGACCCACTTGACTGGGGCTATTACTATGACTGGGAGCTGGGTACAATTTAGCCTTATCCCATAACTTTACCACATGGGCATCGGTTCCTGGGTGACGCATCCTTATATGACGGTTGATGTCGCTGTTCCAGTTGGATCTCCGACTGCACTTGGAGCACTTATATGGTCTAAGATCTTCCATTGTGTTTGGGTCAACATTCTGAGCTACCTGTTTACCCTTTCCTGGTGTGCTATCAGGAGTGCGGTTGTCTTTTGGAGCTGGGCGATCATCAATCACTTCACCCTCTTGGCCAGGATGCTGCTTCTCAATGTGCTTTTTCAAATCCCATTTCCAATTTGACCTTCTGTTGCAAATAGAGCACCTCAGTGGCCTCTCGTCCCCTGTTGGATGACTACCAGACTTTGAAGATGGGGTAGAGTAGCCACTGAATTTGCTTGGTGTTAGCTCATTAGAGTAAGAAGTGTCAAAGGAATTCACTGAGGCTTGATCTTGATGTTCAGAGAGTTCCACAGTGCTGCTGTTATAGGAGGCATCAGACATATTGGACATGGTTTCCAGAGCAGTCTGGGCATCCACACTGGTCTCCATGTCTAGATCAACATCAACTGGAATCATGCTGCCATCTTCATTTTCCTCTAAAACAACTGCATCCTCATCTCCAGGGTGAGAGCTCTGGATGTGCTTTGCTATGTCCCATTTCCATCTGGACTTCCGTTCACACAGTGAGCATCGATAGGGTCGTGGTTGACTTCCCACAGGCTGGTTTGCATAGGAACGATTCCCAGCTGCTCGCGCATAGTCACGGTTTGCCACAGATTCTAGATAATCTGTCAGAGTGGCACGGGCTTCCTCTTCTGTCAGCTGTATGACATCCTGCACATCACGGTCAGGGTGCTCTTTTCTCATGTGTTTCTGGATGTCCCATTTCCAGTTGGCCCTCTGACCACATTCTGGGCACTTAAACATTTTCAGGTTCTCATGGATGGCTATATGAGCCTTCATCTTTGAGGGTGCCCTCGCAGTGTATGGACACATTGGGCACTTAATCTCCCCTGCATTTGTAGAATCTGCTGTGGAGGTAGAGGGGGTGGTCTCGTGACTCACAGAACCCCCACTCATGTTATCACTGCTCACATTATTCATTCTGAGGGTTCCATTCTGTGGGTTCAGCAGCTTCTCATTGATGATCTTCTGCTCCACTTGTGCCATGGCAACATCAATGGAAACAGTCATGTCCTCTTGATGATGCTTTTCAAAATGGCGCTTGAGGTCCCCACGCCAGCTGGTGGCATAACTGCAGTATGTGCACTGGTACGGCTTCTCTCCTGTGTGGAGACGCATGTGGCGTTCCAGAGCTGATTGGTACACTGCCACGTATCCACACTCGGGACAAATGTAGCTGCCTGAGGAGGATGAGGCATTGGGAGTACTGGTGGTGGCACCACTGGGCACTGAGGTAGTGGTAGCTGTGGTGCCGGTGGTGTCATCAGTGGTGTCTGCTAGCACAGTTTTACTGCCACTCTTCCCAGTGGCATAGTAATTGTGGGTCTTCTTCATATGAGCATTAACGTCTCCCTGGTATTTGTATCTCTTCCAGCAGAACATGCACTTGAAACGTTTGTCAATGGAATGGACCTTCAGGTGGCGTCTAAGGTCACTTGGCCATTTTGCCATGTAGGAACAATGGCTGCACTTGAGGTTCAACATAGGCTGGTGCAAAACTGACTTCAGTGGGGTACTGGAGGGAGAGGTCTTCATGGAAAGATCTAGGGGCTGGTCTTCTGATGAAGAGGCACCGTCAAGACGAGGCACTTTGGCAGAGAGATTGAGTGGTGCCCCAGATCCGGATCCATCACCATCACCAGTGTCATCAGTGTCGTCATTGAAACCAGTGTCTTCCAGGCGACGCTTATGAGTGATATAATCCTTGAGACGGACACCGTGTTTCTTCTTCATGTGGCGGTTAAGGTCTGAGGAGCGCTTGTAACGCAACTCGCACAGATCACAAGTGTATTCTGCATCATTCATGTGAGAAAGCAGATGATCCTGTAATTTAGCAGGACAACGTGCTTTGTACCCACACACAATACAGATGCAAGAACTGGTGGAATTTTCGTTCTCATCCATCTCCATGCTGTTAGCATCTTCATCAATCACCAACGGCCCTTGCTCATCAATCACCAAATTAGCAGGTGAATCTGACAGGCTATCTTGCTCATCTGCAGACCCCTGGTCACTGTGGTAACAGGCCTCGTGTGCCCTTATTCTTCCCAGACTTTGAGCAGTGTAGCTACACAGGTTACACTTGAAAGGGCCTGAGCCACCATGGTTCAACATATGACGGTCCAGGTTAGCCCTTAGCGTGGTGGAGTACTGGCACTCCTGACACTGGTAAGTCTGCTTGTTGGAATGCTTGGCTTTGTGGAGGACAAAATCAATTCTCTTTTGTGTGGAAAAGCTACAAAACTGGCAAGAATAAGTCTTGGCGCTGAGGTGAACCTGCTTGACATGCCTAGCAACTTTATAGCGAGTGGCATGGGTGTATGTACAGAGAATGCATTTCCACTGCACGCAGCCATCGATCACAAGTTCCTGCAGTTTTGAGGTAACTTCAGGATCACTTGTTACATTTGCAGTGGAAGTGGATGATGAAGTATGCTTGACACCATTTTGTTTAGTGGCATCCTCGTCATCGTCTGCATCATTCTCATGATCATCACTGGGGCTCTCCATTTGGGCCACCAAAAATTCCTCATCATCAAATTCTTCATTCTCAGCGATAGCAGCCTCCACATCCAAAACATCCCCTGTCTCTGCCTCAATCTCATGTTCCATTTTACGAGTTGTCTGACTAATTCGTCTTACAACTGCAGGTTTTCGACGGGACCGTTTCTCACTAGGAGGTGTCACTGTTGCAGAAGGTGGTGAAGGCCCATGATTGGTTGACTCTCCCTGAGATTTTATTGCATGGTTTGCTGCCCCTGATCCAGGATCCAATAAGAGATCACCAGACGGAGGTGAGCTGTTTTTATGAATCATACTCCTATGTCTAAACACCTTGTCTTTGTATCTTGATGCATATTCACAAATATCACAGGCATAAATAGGAAAGTCCTCTCCATGGGCATCCTTCTGGTGAATAAGAAACAACTTGGATTTTTTGGTTGAAAAGGCACAGTGGCAGGTATACTGACGCACAAAAGGCTTGCGACTGGGTTCTTTCACGCCTCCTTTATTACTGCCCTCACTACCCTTAGGGAGACATCGCCTTAGGTGCCTCTGTAGAAGAATTTTGTGTTTTGTCACATAATTGCAGTTTTTGCAAGGAAAGGTGGCATTCCCTTTAGTCTTGGCAAAAGACACCTTAACTTGAAGAGGCATATCTGTGGAATGTCTGAAGTCAACTAGCCCTGAGTGGAATTACCTTTCATCTCATCATTATCTGAAATAAAAAAGGAAATCAGATGTCACTTTTTATCTAAAAAGTTATGTGCAGAAAATTATACAGATCTGCTTGAAAAGTGTAATTCAGAATAAACAAACAGACCATTTTGCCATCATTTTTAGTCATTTTAGGCTTAAAAGAGCACCTAAGGCACAAACATTTCATCTTCATGACTAAGTGCGGTTTTGCTGCGTCAAGGAAAAAATTATTAGACAAGAACAACCTAGCAATTACGCTTTTATGATTTTTCTTTTCTTCAAAGGCATTCACTTCAAACTGCTTTCCTGTTTTGGGATATAACTAGAGGATCAGAGAGGCGATACCGCCTCCGAATATTGTACCACCAGCTGGAGCAAGCGCATTCGCATAGACCCCCACATACACAAAATAAGGGACACAGCCACCAGTCTTATGCTTGACAATCAACAAGAATTTTCAAAATACGCAAAAAAAATATATAACTTAAAATGGTACAATCAAAGTTNTCTCCACGCCAGCTGGTGGCATAACTGCAGTATGTGCACTGGTACGGCTTCTCTCCTGTGTGGAGACGCATGTGGCGTTCCAGAGCTGATTGGTACACTGCCACGTATCCACACTCGGGACAAATGTAGCTGCCTGAGGAGGATGAGGCATTGGGAGTACTGGTGGTGGCACCACTGGGCACTGAGGTAGTGGTAGCTGTGGTGCCGGTGGTGTCATCAGTGGTGTCTGCTAGCACAGTTTTACTGCCACTCTTCCCAGTGGCATAGTAATTGTGGGTCTTCTTCATATGAGCATTAACATCTCCCTGGTATTTGTATCTCTTCCAGCAGAACATGCACTTGAAACGTTTGTCAATGGAATGGACCTTCAGGTGGCGTCTAAGGTCACTTGGCCATTTTGCCATGTAGGAACAATGGCTGCACTTGAGGTTCAACATAGGCTGGTGCAAAACTGACTTCAATGGGGTACTGGAGGGGGAGGTCTTCATGGAAAGATCTAGGGGCTGGTCTTCTGATGAAGAGGCACCGTCAAGACGAGGCACTTTGGCAGAGAGATTGAGTGGTGCCCCAGATCCGGATCCATCACCATCACCAGTGTCATCAGTGTCGTCATTGAAACCAGTGTCTTCTAGGCGACGCTTATGAGTGATATAATCCTTGAGACGGACACCGTGTTTCTTCTTCATGTGGCGGTTAAGGTCTGAGGAGCGCTTGTAACGCAACTCGCACAGATCACACGTGTATTCTGCATCATTCATGTGAGAAAGCAGATGATCCTGTAACTTAGCAGGACAACGTGCTTTGTACCCACACACAATACAGATGCAAGAACTGGTGGAATTTTCGTTCTCATCCATCTCCATGCTGTTAGCATCTTCATCAATCACCAATGGCCCTTGCTCATCAATCACCAAATTAGCAGGTGAATCTGACAGGCTATCTTGCTCATCTGCAGACCCCTGGTCACTGTGGTAACAGGCCTCGTGTGCCCTTATTCTTCCCAGACTTTGAGCAGTGTAGCTACACAGGTTACACTTGAAAGGACCTGAGCCACCATGGTTCAACATATGGCGGTCCAGGTTAGCCCTTAGCGTGGTGGAGTACTGGCACTCCTGACACTGGTAAGTCTGCTTGTTGGAATGCTTGGCTTTGTGGAGGACAAAATCAATTCTCTTTTGTGTGGAAAAGCTACAAAACTGGCAAGAATAAGTCTTGGCGCTGAGGTGAACCTGCTTGACATGCCTAGCAACTTTATAGCGAGTCGCATGGGTGTATGTACAGAGAATGCACTTCCACTGCACGCAGCCATCGATCACAAGTTCCTGCAGTTTTGAGGTAACTTCAGGATCACTTGTTACATTTGCAGTGGAAGTGGATGATGAAGTATGCTTGACACCATTTTGCTTAGTGGCATCCTCGTCATCGTCTGCATCATTCTCATGATCATCACTGGGGCTCTCCATTTGGGCCACCAAAAATTCCTCATCATCAAATTCTTCATTCTCAGCGATAGCAGCCTCCACATCCAAAACATCCCCTGTCTCTGCCTCAATCTCATGTTCCATTTTACGAGTTGTCTGACTAATTCGTCTTACAACTGCAGGTTTTCGACGGGACCGTTTCTCACTAGGAGGTGTCACTGTTGCAGAAGGTGGTGAAGGCCCATGATTGGTTGACTCTCCCTGAGATTTTATTGCATGGTTTGCTGCCCCTGATCCAGGATCCAATAAGAGATCACCAGACGGAGGTGAGCTATTTTTATGAATCATACTCCTATGTCTAAACACCTTGTCTTTGTATCTTGATGCATATTCGCAAATATCACAGGCATAAATAGGAAAGTCCTCTCCATGGGCATCCTTCTGGTGAATAAGAAACAACTTGGATTTTTTGGTTGAAAAGGCACAGTGGCAGGTATACTGACGCACAAAAGGCTTGCGACTGGGTTCTTTCACGCCTCCTTTATTACTGCCCTCGCTACCCTTGGGGAGACATCGCCTTAGGTGCCTCTGTAGAAGAATTTTGTGTTTTGTCACATAATTGCAGTTTTTGCAAGGAAAGGTGGCATTCCCTTTAGTCTTGGCAAAAGACACCTTAACTTGAAGAGGCATATCTGTGGAATGTCTGAAGTCAACTAGCCCTGAGTGGAATTACCTTTCATCTCATCATTATCTGAAATAAAAAAGGAAATAAGATGTCACTTTTTATCTAAAAAGTTATGTGCAGAAAATTATACAGATCTGCTGGAAATGTGTAATTCAGAATAAACAAACAGACCATTTTGCCATCATTTTAAGTCATTTTAGGCTTAAAAGAGCACCTAAGGCACAAACATTTCATCTTCATGACTAAGTGCGGTTTTGCTGCGTCAAGGAAAAAATTATCAGACAAGAACAACCTAGCAATTACGCTTTTATGATTTTTCTTTTCTTCAAAGGCATTCACTTCAAACTGCTTTCCTGTTTTGGGATATAATTAATGAAACCCTATGTTATACAGACAAACTAATATTTTAACCAAAAGCCCTATTTCTTAGAAACATTATAAAGAACTTGGTACTAACAGAATTACAAATCTACAAGTACAATAGAAAAAATGGTGCAATGTTTAGATGAAGGCAAACAGCGTTTATCGCCAATGAAAAAATTCCAAGGTTATTCAGGTACTTGCTGCACATTATTCAACATTAATATATACTGATAGAGGTTAAAGTTCTTGTAAAAAGCAGAAACAAAGACATACATTCTGGCTTGCACAAATAGGTATGTGAAAGTATCACACTCAAAAGCACATGCACATATCCAACCATCCATCCAATCCAAACAATTAACTTGCTATCAACACGAACGCACACTGAATCACACACACACACACTGAACACACACACACTGAATCAGACAAACAAACATCCACACACCATTTCCTTCTTGGCTCAATCCCTGCTTCCTGATATGCAACATGATTTATCCCTTTACTACTCCTAAAAGGTCTCTTAAAATGTCAACAAAGTGCACAACAGGTGTTTTCCCACTGCTAAAATCTTTTACCTGTCCAGGAATATCTGGATTATAGCACAGAGATGTTTTCTGCCCTTTTTATCAAGAACAATTTTTTAGGTATAATATTTGTGTTCAAAATTGTCTTAAAGTTGTATTTTTTATGTCTAGATATCCTGCAAAGCTACTTATCTTTCACAATTCAGACCTTAAATGATAAAACCTTCAAATAAAATTAACCGATATCAATATTTCTTTCTCAAATATACTGAAAAACATGACAGACTAATCATTCTAGGAATTATTTAGAAAATATCTGATTAGAAATGACCAAAAACGATTCATTTGTAGCAGAAAATTCAATTTGGAGGGATGGGATATCTTAACTACATATTAAATCATTCAGCTACCTGCTTACTTTTCCTCAGAGGTTTTCTTCTAAGACATTATGTTCTAATGTATATTCAGTAACTTTCTCTCCCTTCCCCTTTAACAAACCCCTTCCATCCATCCATTCCCTAATGAAAACCACACCTCACATTATCAACTCACTTCTCTCCTCTCTGTCACCTCTGGAAGACTCTGTGTACATCATCTAATATCCCTTTCCCATACATACATACATACACAGCACACACATCAGTGGCCAAATTCCAATGGTCTTTGTTCTGGCATCTCTCATTATCTCTCTGTATGCTAAACAATGCTACTCACCTTTGTGTGTGATGCTATCTGTTGTACCTGAGCTCCGGGTCCTAATGGGTTCCCCGAGTTATCTGGGAGCACCTCTTGAATTCTGGAATGGAGAAACAATTAAGATTTATCAGTGTGGAATTCGCCAGACATGCAAAACTGATTGCGCACCAGTGCGACATGTAATTTAGGTAGCCCAAGCTCACTCTAAACTTATTCAACAAAATCTGTGTCAAAAGCTAGCCATACTTTGATTTGACTAAGAAAAATGTATGCTACTAATTCTGATGTCTATTATTGATTTGGTTCAACTTTTTGATTTGGATGATATCATTGACAATCATGTAAATGAAATCTTTCCAAGTTTTATACTACAGTGAACCACCCGATTTTGTGAAAAATAGGACTAAATCCCTGAAATGAAAGCACAAACAGTTTCTAGTTATTCATATGAGAGCATAGCTAAGACTCTGCAATGGAAGAAAAATGAAGATTTATAATTCCGTCTGACACCAAATGGCAGGCCAGAGTGTGTTACCTTTGTAAGGCAACCTAACTAAACAAATGCAAGTACAAAGATGTTCTACTGACTTAAATCTCATCATCTAAAAAAGCATCTTTTAAAACTTCAATGAATCAGATGTAATGTAGAGAAAATCAAAAGTCCCTATATGAGATCTTGAAAATTTTCATTTTTGAGGACCAAAAAAGGTTAGGTTCCCTAAACTTACTTGATTGCATTACGTCTTGCAGTGACACCAATCAATCAATTATTTACCATGCAGGTTTAACTGCCTCATCTAAACAAAAATTTTACAAAGCTTTTCCTGGCTGCCTTTCAAAATCCAGACACAGAATAAAAATACAGCTACCAAATCTTAATATCCAATACTGGAATGACTGGATATTTCTTAACATCTGGTTCTGGAGTAACTGGATATTTCAAAATATCTGTTACTGGAAAAACTTAAAGCTGAGAAATATCATGTAAATTACTGACAGGAAGTAAATCCTGTCCAGACGTCACTGGAACTTGACTCACTTCCAGAGGATTTTATTAAGATTTGTCTGAATCTTTTTTTTTCCTCTTTCAGATTACATTTCAACTCTTTTTCAAGACAGATGAAACAAAAGAAAATCATATTATGAGATAGGAAACACTATTTAAAAGGACTTTTCTAAAAAGTCCTTTCTTTCCTGCACTGTTTCCATGAAATAGTTGCAGGAATGCCTCTTTTTCAAGAATAACTAAAACACAGCCTTTTCTGGGAAAACAGTTTTTCATACAAATGCTGAATAACAATGAGACTTGCTTGGAAATTTTTCAACCCTCCTTGATAACTGAATCATTAACCTGTAAATTAATGATTAATTTATCCAACCAAAGGAATTTATTCATGATATTAGCAAGATAATTGTGATGGATTCTTGATACTTATGCTGCACTACAAGATAAACCACAATGACATCTTAAAGGAAGCAAAACTTTTTTCCCTCCCTACCACAGAACTCGGCAAGTATGACTTCCCATCCTGTTACAGGTGGTTTAAGTGTTAATTCATTGCTATCCACACTATGGGCCCTCACACCAACCAATGGCCAAAAGAAAATGTATAACAACATCCACTGGCTTCTGTATCCATTACAGTAGGCTATCACTACAGAGATGGGCTTTGATAACAAATACCAGAGAACTTCTCAGGTCAGTCATAGTTTATTAGTATATATGTCATATGGCCAGTGTTTATCAGCTAGGCCCTGTGAGATGGATGAGACAGAGCACCCAGATGAAAACATCTAACAGTTGGCAGAGAAGGTAGGGTAAGCATGTCAAATCCATATCACCTCATGGTTCGTTCCTGTTCACAATACAAGCTGTGTCCATGCTAATTTTTTTTTTCACATGTGCCTCTCCCTTCTCTCTCTCACTCAGATAACATTAACTCTTTAGGAAATTTATTTAAGCCATCAAGCTTGGATAAAGATATTATTTCACCTCTCCTGTTAGTTATTTTCCAGGTGAGAACACATTCTGAGAATGCATGTGAAACCCATTATCATAAGAGAAAGAATGTTCTTCAACTTTTTTTCTGTCCTGAGATTGCGTTTCTCCCCCCCCCCCCCCCAAGATAACATGCATATGTGTGTTTAAACCAATGTCCTATAGACCTATTCTCCACAAACCTGCAATACAATTCATAAATGAGTCTCCTTCTGGAATACTTAAAGACAAATCAAAAGACAGCTGTTACACAATCAGGAAATGAAGGTGTCAACCCAATTCGACTCCTCCGACTCCTTTTTATCCACTGTTAAGAAACCAGGGTCACTTCAGGTATGTGGCTTTTCCACCTGAACAATTGATAAACACCCAGACAAGTAATAAAACACTGTTATTGAGCAAAAACCCGAATCAGCAATGACCAATAGAAAAAGCCACCTTTTGACAAATGGCATGCCCCAGCCTTGCATGGTCACTGTTTGCCCGCCCTGAGAAAGAGCAAGACAGGTCCTGTTAAAGTTCAAGAAAGCACGTACATTGTGGACAGCCTTCAATATCTTAAAATGTGGTCCAGCCTTTCAGTTCTGCTTAAAAATCAACCAAGTGTATTTATCATGAATATTATAAGTATTATTTTTAGTTGCAAAGCTTTTGGCCTTAGGGAAAAAAAACAAACCCAAATTACATAAAAAGTGCTTGTCCCTGCACACAGAAAGAAACTGTTTCATACTTGAATAATACTGGTCACAGCAGTAAAGAATTCAAGAGAAGAAGGTTATCCTTCACCTCATGGGTGGCAAAAGCTTATTTCCCAACATGTTAATTAGCCAAATTATAGTGCAAATTGTAATCAGCATTAAAACCTGTGTTTTCTGCAACTTTGCTGCATCATGAAGATCGTGAATTTACAGGTAGCATGTTCTATGAATACCCTAGATGTTGGCCAAAAGCTTCAAAAGCAAAAATGCATGACAAACAGAAAAACAATTCCCTAGTGCGATTAAAATACTAACATGATAATCTGTCCGTGTCCTCTGTCCATCAGTGACCAAGGGTCAAGTGTCCACCTTCCACAAAAAAGGGGTAGTAGTCAAAAGCACAGGTGCACTCTCCAAGCTTCAAAGGCAAACCAAACAATAAAGAAAGAGAAGATAAAACTTCTGTTCTCTCCTACAGCAAACAGCCATATAGCTTATCATCATCAAAGTTGCACATGAGCAATTCTCTGAAAGCCACACAGGTCTACACAGGTGGGCTATATATTGACTACACAGCCACTGGCTACCTAAACTACATACTGCGGCCCTTTGATATGAATATCTAATGTAAGAACCTGGTTTGAATCACCTTTGCAAGAGTTGGCATTGAAAATACAGTAGCCTCACTGGAGGGGTTACACAGCAGTGCCCTGCACCGTGGATACCAAAGTGGAGAAATTGCTTTACAGGCAATGGGTTTACTAATGCTGGAAGTGCCTAGAGGGGAATCAGCACTGGGCCAATACCTGTGGATAATCAAGGTGGAAAATTGCTTTAAATCACCTCAGTAGTTGGTGACACTGAATACCAGCGCTTGTCTCCATGCATGCGGCTGTTGCTGTCTGTGGTGAATAAGACTTGAAAGGCAACCTGGCAATACAGGTGGAGGTGGTCTGGAATTTCTGGGTGTGTCTTGAAAAGCATGGAGACATCTGGTGGACAGAAAAGTCATGTTTCAAAGCTGTCGTCTGCAAAATCTTTTCGATAAATAATGCACCGTTTGCCAGCCATGCATTTTCATGGTCCTGTGGAAGCAACATCACTGAGATTGCTTCTTTGCCTTATAGTTTTTTATAAGGCAAAAAATTTGAAAAGACTGGAAAATTCACTACACTATAACCCTCACTGGTATGCAGAGATTAAAAAAAACATTGCAAATTCAGCTCATATCTGACACTCATCACCAAATATATACCTGTTAAAGACCAAATTTCCAAGAAAGCAATTAATTTCTACTACTAGTGTGAAAAGCTTACATCTCATTTGCTGTCAACATCAATTAAGTGGCATGATGCTGGTTACATCGCTAAAGCACAATGTTTACCAATAAACAACCAGGAAAACAAGATATAAGCACGAATGTTTTTTAGTTACGATTTACCCCTGGAGCAAAAAATCTATAGCAACACAATTTACACCTGCTTGAAGTTTGAAACTACTATGTAAGACTGAAGTTACGTTTTATCTCCTGCATTTCCCCCCTGGTATAAAAACACCAATTCATCTTGTAGAAGTGTCACCGTTCATGATGCTCTTTCATTCCTGAAATTAAAACCCCGTGTCTGCTTCAAGCTAGATAAAATACATCCCTATATTTCTATAACTGTATTCAAAGGGGAAAATGTATCCATATGGAAGTTTTGACATCGTGAATAAAAATCTGCTTTTCCTAGCAGTAACCTGCCATACTTGTCTAATTTCACCTTGGAACAAGAAGGTAATGACTTCAGGTACAAACTCAATTCCAGAAAATGAAAACACTGCTGGTTGGAAGTCAGCTTATTTGTAAGTGAATACTTCTCTTAAATTGAAATCACAAAGAGACATAAACCCACAGTAAAAAGGTCTGGAAAAAATTGAAAAAGAAAAATGTGCTTTCGGCTAACTCCTTGTAAAAGAGATCAATTTACATTTTAAAAAATCCCTCCTGATAATAAACCCCTGAATCTGCTGCAAGGTAACCAGCTTTATTTTCTTTTTCATTTTAATGATGCAAGAGCTACCTACGCAAATATGTTACTCCTGAAAATAAAACTTTGCCTACAATTCACTTCCTTTTCATTTATCTTGATCTAGGATAGAAGATTCATTTTGGGTCCTAGTCTTGATTTAGGATAAAAAAAAGAGGTGCTTTCCCTATAGGAACTCGAGACAAAAAAACCTTTACTGCCTACCAGGTAACTGCAATGCATAGCCAGTCAGTACTTCTTACACAAGAGAAGAAGTTTCCCCATAAAAAGTAAGCAATTTCACCAGGTAAAAAAGGACATTATTTTCTAAATAGGCAAAACCTGAATTCCAATAAATCAAGAGAGGACATTTTCATTGGCAGTCACTTGACAA